AAAGAAACTCTATTTTGGGTGGCACAAATTGTATTTCGTCATTTGCCCCCTCTGCTCTTCCTCGCTAGCTCCGCCACTGGACATGACCACGTCGTTCAAGATCCAAAGGGTAGAAGGGGATTCTAACATGCATGATCAATACCCTTACATGGCCCTCAGTTCACAATTGGAGAGCCTTTTCTGCATGGGGACCCGTCCAACACGAACGCAAAATGTTGGTGTGCAGTTCGCGGCTGATGGATCCACTCACTCATTTACATCTCAATGACAAAGAGTGGGAGATGATCACCCTCGATGGTATTGTGAGGAAGATCGTCGAAGAGGCGAAGTGTTGACGGTTGCAATTTCATGGAGGGTACCACTTTAGCTTCGAAATTGCTTTACGGATGACACTGGCCGCACGAACATGAAAGTGGAACGTTGCCATGTTGAGCATGCCGACGCTGGCTCAATCATGCAAGCGGAAGCTTCTTGACGAGGCGGCCGTCCAGACTTGCTCCATTGCCTTGGAAGACATGCGGGCGAGCCCCACCCACCTGGAATGCAGATATTATTGGAAACCGATAACTGCCACACGTGTGGTGGGAGCAACACCCGTCCATACACCGTGTGTGGTGTGAGCAGAAGACAGCCCGCACGTGCCATGTGTGGGCGAATATTAAAACCGCCCACACGTGTGGCAGGAGGAACACCCTACCACACACCCCTGTATCAACATACATGTTTCGGGATCGAACCCAGACCGAATGATTTCCTGTTGGCACAACATGACGCTGGCAACGAAAAAAGCACATGCAGCCCAGTTACCTATTGCTTCACTAAAACAAGCCAAAAAACAGCACCAGGAACATGTGTTTATAAAAATTAAAAACAATACAGTTGCCGTATAGTACATACATGCCAACAAAAACAATTTGACTTGTGTCAGAATTTTTTTGCCATGGCAACAAGTTTGCAAAGTGTACATGGAAAAGTATTGTACAAAATGATATATATACATATATATGTAATGCCATGGCGCAACAAGTTTGATAGAGTTGCTGTATACGAATGATTTCTATTAAAATTGCTGTTATTGATCTGGTTATGAAAAATATGGTCTAAAAGTATTGGAATTACCATGGTCTAAGCAGTAAACAATGCCAACGCAAAAACTGCATATTGATTATACCCAAGGAAAAAAATTGGTTGAAAATTGCCATGACATCTCTACTGCTATATGATGGCAAATTGTATGAATTTGACATGGAAAATATTGTTGTTTCCCAAGCTAAAAACTTGGCAAGTTTTGCAGCGGGGATGCATATCAACTTGCCATCACATAAAAATTCAAACAAATGCCATGTTTTCAAAAAACAAAACAAAAAAAATCATGGTCGTCATCATGGAGGACGACCTCCTGGTCGGCATCTTAGTCGACGTCTAGGCCGGGGGAGGAGTTACATTGCCATTGTCAAATGGAAAGTAGATTTTGCCGTGTTGCGAAAGGAAAAGAACATTGCCATGACCCTTAAACTACATTTGCCATGCTTGAACTTAATTTGCCATGGGGCAAATAAAATTGCGATGGTATCTATTTTTGAAACATGAGTAAATCTAATGTTGCCATGGTCCCGTTAAATTTGCCATGGTCCCTTCAAAGAAGAAAATTTGCCATGTTGCAAAAAAGGAAAGAAAATTTACCATGGTCCTTAAAATTGGAAATTGCCATGCTCCGAAAATTGCATTTGCCATGATACACACACTAAGTTTGCCATGGTCCTGTTCGAAAACAAAATTTGCAAGCTTGTAAAAGAAGGAAGAAAATCCGCCATGCTCCATAAACTACCGTTGCCATGAAAGATGCACTGAGATTGCCATGGTCCCATTGAAAACAGAAAATTTGCCATGTTGCAATAAAGAAAGAAAATTTGCCATGGTTCATATAATTAAAAATTTGCCATGCCTCGTAAACTACATTTGCCATGGTCCCATTCAAAAAGAAAATTTGCCGTATTGCAAATAAGGACGAAAAATTGCCACGCTCCACGAACTGCCATGAAAGAAAATTTGCCATGGTCCCGTTCAAAAAATAGAAAATTTGTATGAGGCATAGACTAAAAAATGCCATGATCCATAAACTATAAGTCCCATGATGCATTCACTAAATTTTCCATGGGCCCGTTCAAAAAGAAAAATGCCATGCTGCAAAAAAAAGAGAAGACATTTGCCATGGTCCATATAATAAAATTGCCATGGTCCATAAACTATATTTGCCACGATCTATTAAACTAAAATCTGTGGTCCAAACAAAAGTGATTTTTGGACATGTTGCAAACAAAAGAAATTGCCATGCTCCGTAAACTACAGTTGCCCATGCTCCATGAAAGTAAATTGCCATGGTCAAAAAATATGAAGCAATTTTTGCATGTTAAAAAGAAAGAGAAAATTGCCATGGCAAAAGCATGTTCAAATTTGCCATGGTATTTACCAAAACTTGCCATATTTTATGTGATTAAAATTGCCATGTATGAGAAAACAACACAAAAAATGATTAAATTTGCCATGGCAAAACTGCATATTCAGATTTGACATGGCAAAAACTGCCATACTTCACATTTGCCATGGCAAAATGCATATTCAAATTTGCCATGGCAGAAAAAATGAATATTTCAAATTTGCCATGGCAAAAAAATGCATATTTTAAATTTGCCATGGCAAATGTATGATCAAATTTGCCATGGCAAAAATGCATGTTCAAATTTGCCATGGTATTTTACCAATATTTGCCATCTTTTAGTATGATTAAATTGTTGTGTAGGTGAAACAATGCAAAAATGATCAAATTTGCCATGGAAAAAATGCATAATCAAAAAATGTAGTTGGATTTTTTTTCAAATTTACCATGGTTTCATAGAATAATTTGCCACGAATATGAAATGATAAGGAAAATGATGAAAAATTGCCATGGCAAATGTATGTTTAAAATTTGCCATGAATTTTTTTTATCAAAGCCATGGCAACTACTCGTAACATATTATGCCCATGGCAACAAATTTTTCATGGCAACTCCACTACATAACTTCGTGATCCCCTTGGCTTCCTCTCACATGATGAAGTTGCTATAGAAAAAAGCAAGGCTAGGAGGAAGCCAGGGGAATCTCTACTGACCAATGCACATCGTTCCATTCCCCCTATCATCTCCATGAGTTAGCTACTAGCACACATTAGTCAGCAACAACGCTACAGAACATAGACCAAAAAAGCAGTTAGCAGCAACAGTTAGCAAAATGCAGAGCGCCAAATTTTAGGGGTAGTGCGACACTAATGAAGCAGAGCATCCAGCGGCTAGCCCCCCGGGTGTATCTAGCAGGGGATGGACTCACCATGGAGGGCAGTGGCGCCGGCTGGAGGAGTGGGAGGAGGTTGCTCTGGGGTTGCGACGAGCAGTACCAAGAGCGCGGCGGTAGCACTGGCAGCTCGGGCTCACGGCAGGAGGCGATAGTCGTCGAGGGCACCGGCCTCTGCAGGGGGTGGAGCCGAGCCCAAATCGCCTGCGTAGCAGAAACGTCGTCGGACCGTGCAGCCCCAAGCGCGGCGGCCTTCTTGTCCTCGCCGGAATCGAACCCGCCACCAAAACTGCTCGCGGCACCATCCTTCTGCTGTGCGCATGCACACCTCCGCCGCCGCCGCCACGCACGGAGACGAAGGGAGAGCGCCGCCGCTGCGCACGGAGACGAAGGGAGAGCGCCGCCGCCGCACTCCTCCATGTCAGGCGGTCATGGGAGGCCGCAGCCGTCGAAGCAGGGCCCTCCGTCGATGCGGGGTGGGTGGAGGGGAGCTCCTCGGCGCAAGGCTTCCGCGGAGCAGCGGAGCTCCTCGTCGCGTAGCTGCACTCCTCCATGCCCGCCGCTGTTGACTCGGAGGCCGCCGTCGATGCGGGGGGAAGGCTCCGCCACAGCCGCTCTAGCGAGTGGAGTGGGGGTGGGGGCCTGAGGCGAGAGGATAAGGTGCGCTGGTCCTTCGGCAGATGCTTGAAGATTCAACATCTAAGCGTTCGGGCTGAATTGTGAACTGCCGCACGCGTTCGGGCGAGGAGTGTTTCGCCCACACAACACCGTTTGCTTACGTGGCTTTTGACCCCGATTGCAATTGCTATAAAATTCGTGCAGATGGATCGAACGGCATCGAATGCGTGTGGGTGGGTTTCTAAATGCCACACGTGTGAACGTTAACATTTCCGATATTATTTGTATGAGAAGTTTGTTTTCGATAATCGATTGGTTTCAAACCCGTGCTGGGACGTACACATATATGTCACGTACGCATGTGTGATCAAGCAAGTACCTGTGTAGGGACTATCGCTGGCTTTCGTATGTTGATGCAAACATATTACATTTAAATCATACGAGTGCGCATGTTTGATGTGTAAGAGCATCTCCAACAGAAGCGCTATATGAGCACCGCGTGGTATAAAAACTGTTTTAACGCGCGCGGATCCAGTTTGGAGTCTCCAGCAGCCGCACAAAAAGCGTGCGCGCTATAACTAATGCAGCGTGCGCATAAAAAAGGCATCGCGCGTAGCATATTTAATGCGCCCGGTCGCGCGCGCTGCAAACTCTGGGCTGCTGCAGATGGGACCGCTTGATTGGGATCGTTGGACTCGCGCGCACAGCATATTTTGCAGCGTTTGTTGGAGCAAACATCTTCTAGCGCTCTAAAAAAATCTATTTACGTGCTGTAAATCCGTTATTTGGGCGCCGCGCATTGGGCGGCTGTTAGAATGTGTTCGTGCTAACTAGACGGAGCGCGCGGCATGCATGCATGTGCATGTTGCCTATTGTTTCTTTTTTTTTTTTGGTGTTGGTCGATTATTTGAGCCGTCCGATTTAAATCCAAAGGCTCCTATGCATCTTCCAGCGTCCTCGCCTCGGCTACGGAGCTCCACGCGCGCCTCTGCCCTGCCCACTTCTTCTTCTCTGTGCAAAATTTTCAAGCAACTTACGCAGCCCATGCTGGGGAGTTTTGCGTCGTTGAAGTCTCCGTTCACGGAGACTGTTATATATTGTGTCACCCAGACACGCGACTAACGAGACACGTAAGGCCTCCAGCGCGGCGGTCAGACACAGGGCGCACCGAATGCCGGCCGGTACAAACGCAACGAACTCCGAAACTACTGCAAAAAAGATAGATATCCGCTACAAACGCAGCCGGCGGGCAGCGTGCACGCGCACCGGGACGAGGGAGACGTCGTCGACGACGGGCCCGCACAGCGTGGCGTCGGACTTCATGAGGTGGCTGGAGCTCTGGAACACCACGCGCGTCTCGTTGGCGACGGCCGTGAACTCGAGCGCCGCGGGCGTGGAGCCGCCCGTGCCGAGGGACTCATAGGGCACCCTCAGGGTCCCCCGCCCCGCGTACGCCTCCACCACCAGGGACCCGCTGCAGCCGTTGGCGGCGTCCCCCACGGCGAAGGAGAGCCTGTACGTCCGCCCCGGCACGGTGCGCACCTCCTGCACCAGCGCGCTCTCCCGGCCGGCCACCAGCTCCACGGCGCGCGCGCCCCGCGGCACCGCGTGGTGCGGCGCGTCCACGTACTTGACCACCTTGGTGTCCGACATGACAGTCCAGCCCGACAGCGGCGAGTGCACGTCCTCCGTGATCGGCGGCACCAGCACGCCCCACCGGGTGCCGGGGAAGATGTACGGCCCCTGCTCGAAGTCCCCGTTCCTCAGCATGTTACCTGTCGATCGAGATAGCTAGTTAGATTTCCAAACTGATCATGGTGACATGCTGGGAATTATATATGGTACGACGAACCCTTGGTGTGGTGGGGGGCGTAGAGGGTCTTGATGGCGACGGCGATCAGGAGGGGGCCGCACGCCGGGTCCTCCTCGACGCCGGTGTTGTGGATGGTCAGCCACCCGGTGCCGTGCCTGGCCTTGAAGGCCCAGGAGTAGGTGTCCCAGCCGGTGCTGGTGTACACGGTCTGGATCGGGAGCAGGCCGAACTCGGGGTCGACCGACACGTTGAGCTTCTCGGCCTGGGCGCACGACCGCGCGGCCATGAAGGAGACGGAATAGAACATGTGGCGGCTGACGTTGAGCTGCTGCCGGATGGTGGCGTCGTTGCCCAGCCGCACGGCCGACGCGCCGGGCGGCAACGGCAGGATCATGTCCTCCTCCCTGTGCCCGGGCGCGATGTACTCCACGAACCCGGAGATCTCCCAGCGCGGTATGGCGTGGCGCGCGGTCACCACCGTGCCGTTCATCTCCGACCTGTCCGGCCCCTGCGCGAAGTCCCCGTTGGGCAACAGCCCTGCACGCGACAAGATGGTCAGAAACTGAAATTCGTGGGATGAAGTTTCCGAGTTCTTCTTACCGTCGGTGACGGCGGAGATGGCTCGGACGGCCACGGCGACGAGCACAAAGAACGCCATCGAGCGCGCGCTCCTCGCCATGATCTCTACTACTGGGGTGGAGGAGGAAATGGAGGAAAGCGGAGCTGCCGCTGTGGCTTTATAAGCAGTCCCGCGCGCCGCTGACCGAGGAGGCGTAGCCGTTGTGCAAGGCCACCGGCCGGGGGCGGCGCCGCGGGAGGGCACGAGCCGGAAGGGACAACGGGCATCTCTCGGTTCTGCAGTTGGCCGGCCCTGCGGGTGGTTCACGTGGCGCTCCGTTTCGTCCGATGCGTGCGAAGGTTCCGCCTCCAGTTTCTGTGTGCGCTCCGTCTCGTGCCTCGGGCGCCGTAGCGACGGCCTCGGCCTGCGCCGTGGCTAGTGGCCACCGACGCGCAATCTGGGCCAGCCAGGGCGTCGGCGCCGTGGCTCCCGCCGGTTGCCCCGGTTAGCGTCGCACAATGCAGCCACGATGAAGGTATTTGTTCGTCCGATGTGTCGATTCCCTCGGCTGCCGTTCCCACCGACCATTTTCCCTCTTGTTTTTTGCCTTGTCCAAGATTATTTCCAAATAGGATCAATTTTTTTACCAACTCGCTTCACCGGAAAGTCTCCTCATCTCCTATGTACTGTACGTACTATATTAAACTTAAGCATATTTGGAGGTCAAAACCGGCCCACGGCTTGTGTTCTTCCGTATTAGTTTGGTTTCTGTTTGTTTGTTTTTGCTTGTGGCCTTGTAGTGTAAGGTACGTCTGAATATCACTTACCTCCGTTTGAAACCCATGCTTTGGTAATTGTAATCCTATAGTGTTTATAAACCTCGCAGCGGAGAGGTCGAAGGTGGTGGTAGGTAGGGAAGACCTGGATCTAGGGCTTTTCGAAAGAGTCTCCCCTTTGGGATACCAACTGAGGGGTTATATGGAGAGGCCCATCATAGATGGACCGACCTACTTTCCTAGCAGCCGACCTCCACTCCGCGCCCCAGCTCCAACTCTTGGGCTTGGCTTGATCTTCTATACAAATCTCGGTTTCCTATATCCATACTTCTATACTGTCACTACTCGTTGCATCCGAAAACACGATAGTCCAACTCAGTCACATCTATCGGATCGATATCTCTATATCCATGACCCTTCAAACATGATCATCAGCTGATAGACATGCTACACTTTGGATATGTGCCCCCCCCCCCTCCCCATATCATCCACAACCAGGGACATTAGAATAATGTCATGGTACAATATATAGTTTCACGAACTAATCACGTATTCCATGTCTAAGATGGTATTCAAGGGCTAGTGTTTAATATCTCATGAATACAAGGAACTTGACCATAACATGGTTGCCTCTACGCTAAGGCACATTGAACTTGATCATCACATGATTGCCTCTAAGCTAGGGCACATTCCTAAGCGGTTGTTCTCGATCGTTGGCGTAGTTTGTTTATTCTTTCATGAACAAACATGTCTTTCACATTGCTTGGTTCTAGAAGTAGTTGATGTAGCTTAATACATTGTACTTGCCTTGTAATAGCACTTGCCATCTCAACTCGTATGAACCGCATAAAGTTTGTTTTGTTAGTTTGATCAAGATTTACACTTTTACCCTCTTACATTGCTTGACACCGTCATGCCAGTTTGAATATCTTTCATGCAGGCTAAGCTAGTCATACAAATAAGAGGCCTAAGGCAATAAGTACTCTCTCTAATCCTTTTTTTTTGTTCGCGCATAGGAGACACGCATACCAAGACAAGCTCCACTGCATGCTTTGTGGACAAAATTGCCCTCGCACACATGCACGGGATGAGCTAGCGCTATCTCAAATTCTTCGACGGGCTGGCGGTCTTCCCACAAGAGGTTATCTTCCATGAAGATGAGCTTGGAAGGAGAAGAGATCGATGTAGTAGAAGGCAAAGATATAGGAGGAGGAGGAGGAGGAGGAGGTGTGCGTGCTGATTGGCGTAGCGTACGTGGAAGAAAGGAGGCGAGCGAACTGGCGTAATCAATGCGATGGAAGGGAAGGGGCATTCTTGGAAAGAATAGGCAAAAGATCTAACCATGCAGACCATTGCGGATTTTTTTGGGGTAAATTATGCACAGACTAAAAGGTATCAGAGGGAGTACTTGCATAGGCCTCTCATTTGTAAGACCATAGCTCTTGTGCAATGCAACAATAAGCGGACCCTAGAAATTTTACATTACAAAACACGCTGAACTCAAATTTTACATTGCGTAGATCGAGTCGAATCCATCTCGCTCGCTTTTTAAAATTATGGGTTGAGCTAAACCCAATCCAGCTCACTCAAATCGACTTGTTGGCAAAAACGTTGGAAAACCAAGTTGCCTCAAGTGGAGTTTGGCAACGGATTGTATGCCTGCGAGGCCTCGCCCATAACTCCACACTCCTCGTGCCACTACATAAATTTCAAGTGTCACAACTCTGTCCATTTATATAGTCACCACAAAATGTAGAGATGACACTGTGCACCTAAAGCAAGAGGTGTGGCTTATGGACATGGCGTATCGAGCCCGCCCATGGAAGACTCCTCACCCATGGTATTTGAGCAATTGGACAGAAAATAGAGGGCAATTATGAGGCTACAATATCGGCAGCACACATCTTCAAAATAGACCTTTTATTTCATCAAAAGCAACCTGTGGAACGCATCTCACTATCCCATCAATAAACGTATTATTTTGTATGTCCAAACAAAAAAGTCATAAAATTTGAACCGAATGTCCAATTTCAAATCCATTTTGATCATCTTTGAAACAACACCAATGTCGAATATGTTTTCAAAGTTTGAAATATTCACTTTTTTGCAACTTGATTGACAAATATGAAATTTTCTAAAACCACACATTTCTTCGTGGAGTTTCAATTTGTGTTTCACTAAGTTTCAGGATTGCTTGATGATTTCTCGGCTTCATATGGGTTTCACTGTGGTAAAATTGTGGTTTGAGTTTTACCGAGTTTCTGTCAAGCCTCATTTTAGACTTTGAAACTTATTTGAAATCTCACTAGTTGTGGGAAACATCATTGAAATGACGACGACGAGGAGAAAGCACAATGAATAGTTGAATCCCTCGCTTAATCCTTTTTTTTAACCTCGGCTAAATTCCAGTTAAGCATCAATAAGAGGGGACATACAATGAATAACCGAATCCTAAATTAAGACTCAAGTAATCTTTGTTAACCTTATAAAATATATATATTTGAAAGCCACAGTTAAATTGAAATGTTGTGCATGAGCAACTTGAAACAAAGGAACAACAATGAAAGCGGAAATCGGAGCACAGATTGGCTTTGATGAATACATAGTTACTTCTACAAAGTGTGCGTCTTGTCCATCGTTTCGGAGCACAGATTGGCTTTGATGATACATAGTTACTTCTACAAAGTGTGCGTCTTGTCCATCGTTTTCCAATCCAACGGCCCAAAAACCACAGATGGAGCAGGAGTTAACCATAGATGGATTTAATGTCAGCTACCCACGCAATAAGGCTTTATTGATGCAATAAACAAAACGAATTTGGCGACTGAGCAGGTTCGACAGTCTGCTGTACATATATGTTTAGGCACCAGGCTACAACTCATTTTCAACCCTGTTTATCTCTGCTGCCCGGCAGGCACACAAACGACCAACCTTATAAAAAAATAAAAAGAATACAAAAACGCTGAGCCCCACAACAGAAAGAACCTGCCTGAGCTCTGATTCAGTAGAGAAAAACACCCCTCAAAGACCTATATTTACTGGAAGAAGAAGCAGAGCCTAGGAAAACAATTGACTCGAGCTAGGCGAAGAGAAGAACCCCGCAAAATTGGTCGGCATTCGACGGGGCTAAAAGAGCTGCACTGCAGATTTCAGCTTGTTCTGCTTCCACTTGGGGAGCTTGTAGAACGCTGTCCTTTTCATGCCCAACTTCTCGCGGAACTCGGCCGTCGATAAGTAGATCTGCATTCGGTTTACAGAAGCAGCAGCACATGTCAGGTAGCAGTACACGAGGGGGTAGGGAGTGGAAGAGGAACAGTTCATCAGTCACCTCTCGCTGGGTGATGTCGATGTCGAGCGCAGGATCCTCGGATGTGGTTACCAGGCGTTCGTACGGGAAGACTGTACGCCCCTCGTCATCCTCTGGCTCGTCGTCGCCTGCGCCATCTTCCTCCTGTATTGCCTTCCCTGCCTCTTGGCTCGCTTAATTTTGCAAAGGTCCAGAAAGGAGATATGTAAGGCAACAGAAGTGCTATCACAATTGGCATCACAAAGTCTAAGCAGTTGTATTGCACAATACCTTTTACTGACTTCGGTATTGTTCTTTTCAAGGGACCCTCCAAAGAACTGGTGAGCTCACTGATAGCTGCCTCTTTCGACGTATCAGGTCCGGTTGATTTAGGGAAAAGCTTTTTAACAGCAGGGGGAGGGGTGGAAAGATTCCTGGTACTAGGTTTCTCAAAGGCAGAAGTTAATGCTGCAAAGGCCGGAGATCTGCCTCGAACGCGGTGGCACTCCGGGCTGGTGGACATGCTTCTTGAGCGCTGAGCTTTATCTTGTGCTGCACCTCTTCCTGAAACTGCTGGTGTTCGGCGTTTTGGTTTCTGACAACACAGAGTAGAGATGTTTTGCAGAGGGTCATTAAAGCAATTTATCAGTAAAACAAAATAATACCAAGATGCATACTACTTAAGATTGTAGTTGAAAGATATTAGTGCCACTATACATGACCAAAAGTAAAACTGTATTGATCAGTTCCAAATTATGTAATCAAACAAGAAAAAAACAGCTATTCCACTACAGGACTACTGTTACCCAGTTCGTACTCCTTATTTCAAAATAAAGTAAAATAATAAACTCGTCACCAGGCACTAGCCACCTGTGGTACTTTTATTTAGAACAAACAGCCGAGGACCACAGGGAGGCCAGGCATCGACCCTGGGTGGGCTGAGCGAGGACAGACATCCAACTAAGTGATACTCAATTATCTCCTTATTTCAAACTAATGTGCAGCATTGTGTTTAGGCTCATTCATGTAGATGACAAAATGGCTCTACAAATGCTGAACAATGGGCTCATTCATAGGACTGTCGACTGTACGAGAGGTAATGATCATTAGTCAGTAGTCACATGCATATATGCACACTTCAGCACCAATATCCGCAAACGCAAGAGTATATCACAAAACATGGGAAGACTCAGCCAGCCACTAACAAAGCAAAGAAATGACAGAATGGAAGTATCGTTTACAAGCCATGGAACCTAAGATTTCCACCGAGGACTGCAAGATGATTAGATTAAGACTTACATCAAGCAATTTAGTTGCTCCACCCTTTAAAATGGCAAGCTTCCTTTGGTATGAACTGCCATGCATCTGCAACAAAAATAAGAGTTAGTGAGATGCATTTTATTCTAGAACTAAATAAGGATTAAGGGATAATTAGGTGCTTGTGCAATCATAAATAAACAGAAACTGCAATTAATTTCACAACAAGCGCATGCAATTTATATACCAACTAACAACCAATGCCTCACCAAAAAAGCAAAAAAGAAGAAAAACGTACCAAAGATTTTGCAGAGTCCCAGGTGAAGAACCTAGTAAAAAATTGAGGCTCACTTCCTTCCGAGACAGTGAAAATCGTTGTTTCCCGGGAGAGATTTTCCCTAAGGAAATCGCGCACGAGAAATTTCTGGCACAGTTGCAATGAAAAAAAAGATAGTAAGAGAGCAAATAGGAAATGTAAGTTCTAATTAGACTACGCAAGATTTTGTTATTACCTCTCCAATATCCATAGCTTGTGTTTTCACTTTAGCATCAACCTCCTGACCGAACCAAACAAATATGTACGAGTGACAATCTAGAACAAAAACATCCTCTGCTATCAGATCATCCTGAGTAAAGTGATATACTTCTTTGACCTGTTCAAGTAGAATTTGAAAGAAATTGGCATTAGACATGCGACGGGCATTCTCAGGTAGAAAACCTTCACGTTGTTGTTTTGCTTACCCTCAAGTTGCCATCTTGAACCCCCCAACAGCAATATTGTTGGCACCGGAAGAACAGAAGTGTCAGTACATGTTGGAATGCAAACTCCACTGAGTAGGACATCATACAATGACTTTGTGAATACCTTTGGGTAAGATGCATGAAAAAAGACGAGGGTCACTTTCCTGCTCTGTTTCTATTTTCTTGTTTGAATACTTCACTTTACCACCCAGTAATTCCCAGAATTTATCAGTTTCTCTGCCCTCCTTCTGTGATCTGGATGGCAGATCTGACTGTATAACCAAAAGGGGAAGCACAAATTAAAAGATAAACAAATGGATAGCCAAACCGAAGTCAAAGCTATTTCAGAGCATAATCAAATAACACAATTCAAATCAAACCAACCAAGATAGCAAGGAGGGCGGTGACAATGGTGATAACCAAACAATACGATTCAAAACATCAGATAACCACAGATAATTATTAGAATTATATATATCATGATTAAAATGAGTAGACGCCATTTACTCTTGTGGGCACTTCTTTTTTTCCTTTTTCATGGCAATTGGAGAACATATACTAATAATGTAAACAAGAGCTCATTTTATGCCATCTATTGTTCCTTCAAGACTAATGAGCTCAGATACTGAATTTGCAACTGATACAGAGGAAAGTTGCATAAATACAAAAAAAATGCCTAGGAAAGATTGTTCACACCTTAATTGCATCTAGCTGTCTCTCAATTAACTCCTGATCCAGTGAGGTAGTCAGGTTCCCAATCCATGTGAACACACTGTTTCCATCATGTAGAACGTAACAATATGACGAATTTAAGGATGAAGACACCTAGTGAAAGGATGGTAGAGATAAAGCAAATGATATGAAGATATGATCTTAATCACAAAAAAAAAGATTATGAACTTACTGCATCTACTTGAATTGCTTGCATGTTTTCTGGTCCTGAGCCTTGAATCCGGAATAGCGCTAGTCCAGCTTCAGAGTAACTATCATCATCCAGACCATTTTCAGCAATGAATTTCTTGTATCCAGAGCTAAGACCACCCTACATCGGAAATTAGTGAGATAATAGATGTTACATTCAACTCGAATTATCTATCTAACAACTTCAGTCTGTCAGAAGCAAACCTTAAACACTTGGAGACTCTGAAATATGACAAAGAACTGAATTGGTTCTTTCCCTTCATAAAGGCGAGCCTGCACAGAAGAATAAATTAGAGAGTGGAAACAAGATTCACATATGAAAAACTAATGGGTTACTACCATGGTAGCCTGGAATTTTGCAGCCTGAACCATCTTGCTAGCCAGTGAAATTGCTGCAACCCTCTCCTCCTGAAAGCAATTAAGATCATTTGAATGCACAAATCCGCATTTAAAATAGGCAAATACACAACTATTTGTCCAAAAATCTGTTGTCTTATCAACAGAGAACAGGAAACGACTAGCAGCTTAAGACTGCTAATCTTCAGTTATTTTGGCTAACAAATTCAGAACAGATACCAATTACTGATTACCACCCATGTGTCATATCAATTCCAAACTCATATCTCGACTTGGTTTTGTGTATGGGTAGTACCTCAACACTCTTATTCCCAAACCATGTTCCAATAAGACATTCCTCTTTGTCCTCTCCAGTATATGTGTATTGAAAAATGTAGCAATCTCCAGTGTAAAATTTTGATTGTTCGGATGATGCCAGAAGAGTCTTGGCATTTCCATTTACACGCCAGACCTGATGTCAAGATGTAGAATACAAAACCACCATCAAACATGGACCAAGATAAAATGGGTGAATGCTGTTATGCAAAGAAAATTTTGTTGGAGGGTGAGCACGAAAGGTAAACGAGTGCAGATCAATGGCATGGCTGGGTTTAGGGATTTACAAGATGACTAATTTGTATGTGGACTATTCAAAGAGACCTAGCAGACTAGCACCTTAAAACATGTATGCACAAGACAGATAACCACTGATCACTACTCATACAATACAAATTTATAGGAAGTCATCAAAAAGAATACCTGTAAATGACCAGTGCAATCAATATAAGACTCAGGTTCTTCTGTTACAGGTGCACTTTTCATCAAGCCCTTGACATCTAATCCTTGACTTTTGAGGAGAGCTGTATAAAGAAAATACTAGATAAATATGTGTGATTTAATGAATCTTTTGGCAATCCGTAATACCAAAACTGATAATTTATGGACAGTAACCTGCAACTTTGCCTCTTCCGTCCTCAGACGACAATTTCAAATCAGGAGTTGGTGGCCACTCATTAAATTTTGACTTGAACGTTACTGTTTCGTATCCCTCAATCATTTTCATAACATGTGATTTTGTTCGGCTATCACCAGTGAGCAATTTCTGTACAAAAGTAAAGCATACTGAGCACGCAGCTACATCAAATATAAAACATGAGCATACTTTGATTGTAGGATTAGAAAGATATTTCCAGAGAATGCTATATGATATTTCTCCAAGGTGGTACTTTTTCTTAAGTCAGTTGAATATATAATGTATTGTTGTCGTTCTGAGACGGAAATAAGTAAACCGTCAAAAAGAACATGTATTAATGCATCCAAGTTGCTCCAGAACATTATCATACTTCTCTACAAAACTATAGTTGACTGTTGAGAATCAACAGGACATATTATAGTATCAGCTAGCAAGTGAGAACATTCATATTAAAAAAAATGACAAGCGCTCTCAAGGCGACATGCACCCAAACAGTTCCCAGAACTCAACTGAGGTTGGTGAGGAGGTTAAGCAGCCTCTCCCTACAACCGGGTCACTGTCATATTCCCACTTAGTGAAAATTTTACAATCTGGTCATCAGAGCCTTCAGGCTTTATAATACTTTTGCATAGATGTAATTAATATGTAGTAGAATCAATCTAGGCATACAAATTACCTCGGCAGCTTCACTTGCACCTTTCCTCTGTTGCAAAGAAGTAGTTCTGCCCATCCAAACATACATTTGAGCACCACAATCTAACAAGTAGCATTTGTTTGTCTCAAGCAAATCATGCGTCAACGATTCAAAACCAATAGGCTCCAGCTGTCCTTGATTAAAACTGAGAAGTCACAAAAATAGCTACTCAATTGGATATTCAAGAGTTAATATATCTCACAGTCATGGATGAAATCATGTGGATATCAAATTACTCTATTGGCTACTGATGATGTTGTGCTATGGGTATTTAGTGGTAATCAATTACCATAGCAATTTGACTGCAGCTTCTGTTTCTTCCCCAGTCTCCTCTGAAGCTGTCTTCCTCGGAAGAGGAGCAAAGCCACCAAACAAAGCCCAAAATTCACCAGCTTCGGCATCAGCCATCAACTTTCCATCCTCTACAGAGGACTCTCACTTGTCAGATCTTGTAAACGTGATTTGAAATACTCGAGGCACATTATGAGAGTTGCTTACCAACAGCTGCGACTTCACACTTCCCCTCATGGAAAGTATCTTTGATATACTGCACAACTTCGAGAGCTTTTCCTCTCTCTTGAATACATGAGTTGGAGCCATTGAACTGGAATATTTTGGACTTGGTATCCAAAATAAATATGTCGTCGTGGTTGAGGGAAGATCGAGCAAAAGGAACCTGGTTCGTGAAGTAGCCAGCACAATCAAGAAATGAACTAAACTTAAATTGAACAGGACATTAGAAAGCTTACCTCCTTAACATGAACAACATGCTTTCCTCTGCACACATATAACCTGGTAACGTGCTCCTGCTCATTGACTTCTACATGATTGAACCCAGAAGCTACCCCTCCTGGCTGTGGCATGATACATGGTCTAAAATATGAGAGCAACTTTTCAGTTTCATTGCCTTGCGATTCCCGGTACTGGACAGCACGCCCTCCAAGTGCAGCGTCAAGCTCCACAGTTAAAATTGCAGCAGTTCCTGCTTCATCCTTCAAGGACAAATATTCAGCATGTTAGTTGTCGCAAAGCCTGGGAAACAGGTCGGAATAGCTAAATCAAGTGGTGCATTGCCAAATGATTTGAGAATATACCTGACTAGTATCTTTACCAAGCCAATAATGGATATCATGGCGGAAGGAACCGTTTTTCAAGGCTGTTGTCTGTAGGGAGACAAAAGAACATGAGGGCGGGATCTTTTGGTGCCGTAAGCAATAACATAAGGAGCTGAACTCGAGCCATACACAATCCGAACATCAAGATAAAATAAGTGTATTGGCATAAACAACCTAGCTTGTTATGGATATGAATAATGCGATGCACCAAAATGATTAAACATTGTACTGATATAGTGACGAGAAAGCTAATATTATATTTTGACCTAAGTTTTTTTATTTTCAAAATAAAAAATTCTTCTACTTCTACAATTATGCACCAACAATGTTCCAAACAAAAAATGCCTGCATAACAAGGCATAAATATGCCCATACCTTTAAGATGATATATGAATCACCCATGTAAAATTTTCCATGTGAAGATGTCGGTACAGGAACTGGCTTGAAATTTTCAATACGCCATATCTCCAAACCGCTGTATTGTAATTAAGGAGCACTATGGGCGTATATGACACTCCTATGAACAGTACTTATGGGGATCAATGAAGAAAAGGAACTTCGAAAGGAAAAAAATTGCATTCTTTATCAGCATTTACTATTGTTTGCCTGATCTTTGCTTTAGACTCATCATCCTTACTGTTTTGTTTACTCACCGTTCCAATATAGTGTATCTAGCCATTTTTCTACTTCTTGTCCATAATGCAGAAAAGCTTGAGCGTCTTTGTATAAAGAAGAACGCAACACTGTGACCATTATACAAATTACAAAAGGCCCTTACTTCTACCACTAAACAATGAGCATTGACGACATGATAGGTCTTCTAGTTCATGCTTGCTAATAACTGAACTGTGTTAGCGCAGCATTTTAACCATGAAAGAACTACTAGTATGACTTGGAATGGGGAGGGGGTATGACTTGTGGCAATTGAATGAAGAAATTTAAATAAGCATTACTTGTTGTCTACATCCTTAATACTATTCAGAATAGAAATTCAACAAAGTTTACTGTTAGAAACAGTTCTATCCCATCGATATAATAGACCTAGATGATTTCTGCTTCTTCTGCCGAGGAAAATCGTCCTGACCAGGCCCGGCCTATAATCTCAAGAAAAAAAAGCTAGAAATAGCGATGATTAAAGTGCTTTAGCAAAACTGATGATTAAAAGCCATGAAAAGGATACTCCTTCTGTCCAGCCCCGCGGAAAGCCGGATCCAAATTCTTCATAGAAATAGACATGATGGATGTTGCCGAAGAACCCTCGAATCAGAGGGGCGCTGGCGTTACGCTGCAAAGAGGTAACAGGAAAATGATCACCCATTATATATTATTAACAGAACCAATAATTCGCCGCCAAAATCCGCGACACTGCAAGCGCCCCCGAATTCAGCAATCCACCCAATCCCAACACCCCGATATAAAAAAGGTTGTGCCCATAATCCCCCAAATCGCCACGACGATCGGCGAAAAGAAACCGTGCGTGCAATCGGGCCATGTTTCGGTCCCGAAATCCGCAAGAAAGCCCGCATTGATTCGGAGAGGAGGGAAGAAACAGAGAATACGGATGGATTCAGAGAGTCGCTCACCTGAGGCCGCCCGTGCTGGCCTTGTCGACGGGGTTGGGGAATTTTGGGGGGTGGAGAGAGAGGGAAGCAGCATCCGTGGGGAGAAGGAGAGGGGCCGAAGTAAATGGCCATCCGCCGAGATCGGGTCCGGAGAGGGAAGAGGTAAACTGTGGAAGCTCAGCTTTTTTTCCAGTCCGTTCGTTCGTTGGCCTCGAACCCCTTTTGCTCGTCTCGTCCTCATCTCGGCGATTTGCGGTCCACGACCATCAGATTTGAGCTGGCGGCTATAGCCTATCTGTGTCACTCCACTTGTCCTTTTTCAAAAAGGCTCCCTCCCTTTTAAAATATATTTTTTCTATAAATACACAAAGTTTGCGTATCCTTTCATTTATAGAAGAACGGAATAGCGAGTACAGTACATAGGGTAATGCCCCTGAGCCCCGAGGAGACTGAAGACAGCTCTAGTACCAAGAGTCTATCTCTCGCTTTTCATCGATACTAGGTCAAAGTATTAAAAAATGTTAGAAGAGATTGAAGTGATTCATTCCGGTGTTAGAACACAGCCGCCGCCTCCCAACCCTAGGGGTCGCCACAGGTTCCGCCGCCGCCTCGGTCCCCCTCCTCTTCCCCGTCCGGCAGCCGGGATCCGTCCATCTCTTTTTTTGCGTAGGTTTTGCTTCTCCAGCAACATCGACGAGACGACGACGGCAATGGCGTGTTGGAACAAGGTCTCTTCGGTCTCTGCCTACTTCTACGATGTCCGATCCGACGTTGAAGAAGGGCCTGTGAGAGTTTGTGTCCCAAAATCCGTTGGTTCACTTCAGATCTTGGCAGTTTGTTTTTCTTTCAAGAAGAGCTTTTGGTTATCTATTGGTGTGGCAACTTCAAGATCTTCTTCGGTGTTCTTCTATGACTTGGTCTGATTTCTCTAACCCTCTGGATTGGTGGTGATGGATTGCAAGCTTGTTTTTACGTGGCGTGATTCTCCGGCCGATGTTGCTTCATCGATTTTTAGATCTCATCTCAAAGAACGAGTGACTATTGTAGTCTTCAAAGCCTGGTATGGCCAGGGCGTTTGCAAGTGTCGTTTTTCTTTGTTGTTGGTTCAGTGCAATTTTCAATCTTTGGCGGGTAGCGTAAAATCAAATGAAGAAAAAGACTAGTATACTTTTTAATGTAATTTTATTATTTGTTAATTGTTATACGTCTAGTTATTCATCCATTATATTGGCCTTTGTTTTCCTTGATATTAATCAAATCTAAGATGCCCTTTGTTCTCTATAAATTTGATCAAACCTAAAGAAGTTGGACTTTTCAAGGAAAAAACATCTTATATTTCAGAACAAAGTAAAAGGCCGACTTATGTGCGTACTTGTCATGAAGTTTTTGCACCCGAGCTCAAATGAGCTCGGGTGAACGGTATTTTTTTTTGAAAACTCTTCAAAAAATCTGAATTCTTTTTACGGCAAACTTTGACAAGCATTTTCAAAGTAATAATTTTGTTTTTTTTTTCACGACTACCACAAATGTTATTTTGTGATGAAACTTTGCAATCTCTTAGAACATTTGTCAAATTTTCCATAAAAAATCAATTTGTTTGGACATTTTAAAAAAAATGAGCTACTGTTTATCCCGGGCTCATTTGAGCTCGGGTGTAGAAAGGGACTTCCGATACTTCTATGTTGTGTCTAAATCAGATACTTTTGAAACTTACGTGTACACTTCACCAAGGTATAATTGAAAATCCTTGTGTCATGTGTGAATCTGTCCATCTGATAACAATGGGAGTAAACTTCGTACCAAAGTTCATACATAAAAATATAGATAACTCCAAAATGACAACAATAATTAATGCGTGGATTACAACATAATGCTTGCTTATTGCTTCATGGTCTTTCGGTACCCAATGAAACATGTTCTCCTTGTCTTTGATCAACATGAACAACTCACCATACTCCGGCTTCATCACGATCTTGGTGGCGGTGTGGAATGACAAGATCATTTCCGTAGTTCCACACTCCACTAACAAATTAAATACTTTGTCCATGGCAGGAGCAATCATCTTGGGGACATGGTTGATTGATGCTTCACCACTCACTCTTTAGTTTATGTTACCCAAGCTTTGCTGCTACGTACATAGAAATTGGTGCTTGACCTCTTCAACTTTTATGTTGGATTTAGCCTTGTATTTACCCAATGTTTTTCCCTCTGTATCTTCAATGATTTTGCACGAGCTTCCAAATCATCATTTTCTTATACCTCACTGCTGCATAAATGGAGGTTGCTTCCCCACCGACATGAGTATTTTCAAATATGGCATCTGTTGGGAAACGTTGCAGAAAACAAAAAATTTCCTACGGTTTCACCAAGATCCATCTATGAGTTCATCTAGCAACGAGTGATCGGATTGCATCTACATACCTTTGTAGATCACGCGCGGAAGCGTTCAAAGAACGGGGATGAGGAAGTCGTACTCGACGTGATCCAAATCACCGGAGATCCTAGCGCCGAACGGACGGCACCTCCGCGTTCAACACACATACGGCCAGCGTGACGTCTCCTCCTTCTTGATCCAGCAAGGAAAAGGAGAGGTTGATGAAGATCCAGCAGCACGACGGCATGGTGATGGATGCAGCAGTCACCGCAGCAGGGCTTCGCCGTTCTCTACGGAGGAGGAGGAGGTCTTGGAGGGGAGAGGGAGGCGCCAGGGGCATGGGGTGCGGCTGCCCTCCCTCCCCCCTCTATATATAGGGTCCCCAAGGGGGGGCGACGGCCCTGGAGATCCAATCTTCCAAGGGGGCGGCGGCCAAGTGGGGGTGGAGTGCCCCCCAAGGCAAGTGGGCGCCCCCCACCCTAGGGTTCCCAACCCTAGGCGCGGGGGGAAGGCCCAAGGGGGGCGCACCAGCCCACTAGGGGCTGGTTCCCCTCCCACTTCAGCCCATGGGGCCCTCCGGGATAGGTGGCCCCACCCGGTGGACCCCCGGGACCCTTCCGATGGTCCCGGTACAATACCGGTGACCCCGAAACTTGTTCCGATGGCCGAAATAGCACTTCCTATATATAATTCTTTACCTCCGGACCATTCTGGAACTCCTCGTGACGTCCGGGATCTTATCCGGGACTCCGAACAACTTTCGGGTTACTGCATATACATATCTCTACAACCCTAGCGTCACCGAACCTTAAGTGTGTAGATCCTACGGGTTCAGGAGACATGTAGACATGACCGAGATGGCTCTCCGGTCAATAACCAACAGCGGGATCTGGATACCCATGTTGGCTCCCACATGCTCCTCGATGATCTCATCGGATGAACCACAATGTCGAGGATTCAAGCAACCCCGTATACAATTCCCTTTGTCAATCAGTACGTTACTTGCCCGAGATTCGATCGTCGGTATCCCAATACCTCGTTCAATCTCGTTACCGGCAAGTCACTTTACTCGTACTGTAATGCATGATCCCGTGACCATACACTTGGTCACTTTGAGCTCATTATGATGATGCATTACCGAGTGGGCCCAGAGATACCTCTCCGTCATACGGAGTGACAAATCCCAGTCTTGATCCGTGTCAACCCAACAGACACTTTCGGAGATACCCGTAGTATACCTTTATAGTCATCCAGTTACGTTGCGACGTTTGGTACACCCAAAGCACTCCTACGGTATCTGGGAGTTACACGGTCTCATGGTCTAAGAAAAAGATACTTGACATTGGAAAAACTCTAGCAAACGAACTATACGATCTTGTGCTATGTTTAGGATTGGGTCTTGTCCATCACATCATTCTCCTAATGATGTGATCTCGTTATCAATGACATCCAATGTCCATAGTCAAGAAACCATGACTATCTGTTGATCAACGAGCTAGTCAACTAGAGGCTTACTAGGGACATGTTGGTGTCTATGTATTCACACATGTATTACGATTTCCGGATAACACAATTATAGCATGAATAAAAGACAATTATCATGAACAAGGAAATATAATAATAATCCTTTTATTATTGCCTCTAGGGCATATTTCCAACAGTCTCCCACTTGCACTAGAGTCAATAATCTAGTTACATTGTGATGAATCGAACACCCATGGAATTCTGGTGTTGATCATGTTT